AGCTTGCACGCAGCCATCATGATTTCTTTAGTGCTGGGTGAGATTTCAGGAGGAGATTCCATAATAAACTAGCAAATTCAGTGTGGTTTCTTAGTTCAAACCTCCTGGGAGCAAACGACTGATCCAGCTCATCTCTTCAATCCAGATGCAGAGAATCTAATTTGTAGGCCTTGTCTCTGGTACACACTCCAAATACAACCTCTGCAGTGATTCCTAGTCTCTGGTTCTAAAGCTCCCCAAATGATTCTGGTTGAGATCCACTGAGAGAGCCTAAATAAGGCTGACTATCCTTGAGGCTGGTATCTCACGTAAGGTTACAGTGGATTATGTGTACAAAATATAACCAAGGCTAGAGTAGTGCACTAGTTTCCTATGACTGCTGTATCAAATCACCACCAATTTAGTGGCTTAAAGCAACACAAATGTAGAGTTCCCAGAGGTCAGAAGTCTGAACAAGATATAGGAAGAACTGTGCCTTGTAGAGGCTTTAGGGGATAATCCAGTTTCCAGAGACTGCCTACACATTCCTTGGCTTGTGTCCTTTTCTTCTATCTCAAAGCCAGCAACGGCCAATTGAGTCTTTGTTAAATCACAACTCTCTGGCACTGACTCTCTTACCTCCTTTTTCCACATTTAAAGGACCCCTGTGATAACACTGGTCCCACCTGGCAATCTTAATTCCCCCTTGCCACATCACGTAGGATAGCTGCAATCTGAAGGTTCCAAGGTTAAGAAATGGACATCTTTCGAGGGGCTATTATTATCCTGCCTAAAACTGGACTACGTGAAACAAAACATACTGTTATTAGTTTCACTTACAAGAGATGATACCCAAGTAGACATCATAAACACTACTAACACAACACTGCACAGAATATTACAGCATGAGATACAGCTCCACTATTAAAACTTTAACAGTCTGTGTGGGTTTTCATCACTTATACTCTACTAGAGGCTCAGTGCACGAATTCATGCACCAGTTGGGTCCTTTGGCCTGGCCTGCGGGATCGAGCTGAAACTGGCCTTCCAACATCCCCCGAGGGGTCCTAAATTGCGAGAGGACATAGGCCAGGCCAAAGAACCCCACCAATTCATGATTGGGGAAGGGGAGGGATGCAGGAGGTTGGCCAGCTGGGGAGGGGCTGAGGGAGGGCTCTAAGCCTTGTCCAGCCCATCTCACTCAGTCCCAATCGGCCAGACCCCAGCAGCAAGCTACCTATAGGTTGGAGAGTCTGCTTCCTGGTGGTCAGTGCAAGTCATAGCAAGCGATTGAGCATACTAAAGGCCCAGTGCACAAATTCATGCAGGGCTGGGGGCAGGGCTGGACAGGGCAAGGGATTGCGGTTGTTCTGCCATTCGGTCACTAGGCTTTTATTATATAGGATTAGTCAGCTTAGACAGCCATAACAAAACATCACAAATTTGTGTGGCTTAAACAACAGAAATGCATTTTTCCCACAGTTCTGGAGGCTGGAATTTGGGGTCAGGGTATCAGCATAGCATCATCCCATACCCCAGAAAGTGGTGAATCAATTGCCAGTCAGGGCACATGCCCAGGTTGCAGATTCAATACCCAGTCCAGTGAGTGCAGGAAACAATGAAACACTGTTTCTCTCTCCCTTCTTCTCTCTGAGATCTATTAAAATGAATAATAAATAATGTTCTATAAGTATGGTTTTAACAGAAAAGACATTAGTGATCTATGAAGTGAAAAACACTTTATTATATATATATATATATATATATATATATATATATATATATGTATATATATAATGATAAAATAGCAAAGATCAATTAAAAAGGAATTATTGATTTCAGAGGAAGGGAGAAGGAAAGATAAAAACATCAATGATGAGAATCATTAATCAGCTGCCTCCGGTATGCCCCTACTGAAGATCAAGCCCGAAACCTGACCAGAAATCACATTGTGACCCCCTGGTTCATAGACAGATGCTCAACCACTGAGCTCCACCAGCTGAGCCCCATTTTTATCAATACTAGGCACATGAGGTACATTGGCAAGATCTGATTCCTACATGAAAGTCTGAAATTGCTCAAATTTTTTTGCAGCTAGGTTTCTGAATATGAATTTGTTTCTGACAATTAGATGCACTTTTACAATATTTTGAAGGCAAAGGTGGGGCAGAGGCATCTTCGCAGTTAGGGCTGTTTGCTGCTGGTGTTCATGTTTGCAGAGATGTGGAGGTTTTCTGCAGTGGAATCCAGACTGTGCACAGGCAGTTGTGGCAGAGGCAGTGCCCAGTGACCTGTTTTGTGGGTGCAGGATGGCACTTGTGGGGGTAGCAGTTCCAGATCCCCAGGTCACAGCTGTGCCAGTGTCCTAGAATTTAGTTGTGGCTGAGGGAGCAGATCCTCCTACTGGGCAGGGAGTCTTTCCTGGGGACCCAGTCTAATACCCACTCCTCCAGCTTTCCAGTGATTTCCCAGCACCAGTTCCCTGTGCGAAATTCTTTCCTGCCTAAAATAGCAAAGATCTAAAAGCATTTTGGACCCATTATTTTCAATGAAAACAATGCTGCACAGGGTTGGGTCTGAGAAATGGGTAAGGTGTAGTGGAAGGCTCCCTTCTTTGAGTCTCAGCTTCCTCTTCTACAGAACGAGGCCAAAGATCATCTGTTCACAGTTACTGAAGACCATGGCATCTGTGTTTCCCAAAGATGGCCACATTTCCTATCCCTCCTGTGGCCTTGCCACTTTCCACCATGTCCTCTCTCATGAAGCAGGGCTCTATCATGCTGGTAGCCAGTACACTGGTTGCCCATAGAATTCTAAGGCCAATGCCCATGCCACTCCAGGCTCTGGCTGGCATGGGGCCTTGCCCTCCTGGCTCGCTTCCTCTCCCGGTGTCCCAGTGCCTCACTGCACACCATGGCCCACCTGCTGGTTCTGCAGGGCCCCGTGGGCGGCGTAAGAGCCCAGATCCAGCCTCGTTCCTCCTAGCTCCTGTGTGCTGCCGCACCCGCACCCTGCACCTCCTATTCTTGCCACTGTTCCAGCGAGGGCCAGACACCCAGGTGCTATGCACAGACCTTCCGGACTGCCATGGCCAACAGGAAAGCCTCCCCACCCCATCCCCAACTTTGGAACCCTGATCCCAGGTCCCCTTCTGCCAAGGATAGCTTTGCCCATGCAGCTGCCCAAGGCAGTGTACATCCAAGGTCTCCGGACCCCAAATTTCTGCCAGCCACAGCAGTTGGTTGGCTGGCCCCATCCTGGTTGGAGTGTTGGGGGTGATCCTGCCAGGATCAGGCTGGTTGGCTGCCACAGTGCATGTCAGAGCCACCAGTCATTCTGGTCGTCCTGGTCATTCCACTGTAACGGTCACTGGACTTTTATATACATAGATTACATTTTGATAGGTTGAATGGCCGACCAAATGACTGGGCACTTAGCATATTAGGCTTTTATTATATACAATGCCAAGAGATAAGATATTTCAGCCATAAAAACAGGAGACTAATTCACTCTGATAAAAATATATGAATGCAGGAATCTAATGAACATAATAAACTGATGAACAAAATAGATCCAGAGACATAGAGCCATGAAACAGACTGATGAATTTCAGAGGGAAGGAGGGGTTGGGGAGGTGAGAGGGGGGAGAGTAACAGGGGAACTTACATGCATATATGTATAGGCCATGGACACAGACAATAGTGTGAAGGCTTGAGAGGGGTGGGTGCAGGGTGGAGGGGGTTGATGGAGAACAAAAAAACAAAGAGGACATCTGTAATTCTTACAACAATAAAGATATATTAAGAAAATATATGAATGCAAACAGAAACATTTTATACTTCAATAATTTGCAAGTTATCTTCCTATAATTATACAAATTTACACATTTTATCAACAACCACTACCAAAACTAAATTATGAGTTTATTTTCCAGAAGAAATCTACTGTGAAATATATTTAACTAATTGCCAAGTTACTTTTGACTTAGTCAATGATTATAGATGTATTAAAAATTAATAAGTAATACAGTACAATTATTTCTAAAAATACCTATCTATAATGTTTTTTCTTAAAAGAAAGAAAAAAAAGAAAGTGCTTAAAGTTTTTTAGGAAACATACCCTGTGCTTGAGGCTACCAGTATGTGAAATTTTATGGAGGATTTTCTAGTTATTAACAGTTTCTGAAAAACTTAACTGTGAAAACCTGTCATCCAAAATGCAATGAACCTAAAAGGAGTGGGATGAAGTGAGAAAATAAAATTATGTAAAAAGTTAGGGGGAAAAACACTGCAACTTCAAAAAGTTTTGAAGGAGAAGGATTTTCAAACACATATTTGAGGCTTAAAACATAGAATATTCCTCAAATATTTCATATCAATGTTCAAATTAGAATAACAGAAAGTCTTTTCCTTATGCTTGAATTTATATAACCTATGCATGTAATATGTAACTGGTTCTGTATATCTATAATAATTATATTTGACTTCAATTTGGAATCAGCAAATCTCATGATTTTTTTGCTTTAATCTTTGATCAATTTGGAGTATTATTCAATTGAATAATACCTATCTAAATATTTGTCGAGAGCTTACTTTGTGCTATATTACTACAGGTGTTAACTAGTTTCAATTTACTACCTTTTATATAAGTTAGTCCTGTCTAAGTTAAACAAAATACTCCAAGTTTATAAAGCTAATTGTATTATGCTCATTTTCATAAGTTTTAAAATTTTATAAAAACTACTTTATATCTACTCATTTGGCCTCATCTAATAATTTGTGAACTGGTGAATTCTAACTTTATGTGTTGCTACATAAAGCTGGTGCTACAAAGCCAGAGAGGGTGCTGCTAATTTCACACTGGGACATGTAGGAGGGAGGAAGGGCAGTTCCTTCCCTCAAAGCTGCAGTCTCCTCTTTGGACAAATAGCTACTGAATTGAAATCTATTTGCTAACATTGAAATCAATAAAATGCAACTGATAATGAAAAAGAAAGTTGATCTCAAAAGGGGATGACTTACTTAGACTGCTTAGCTGGCGTATGATAGCAGCAAGGGTACTATTGGTTACACATTCAAGTTCACTGGTAATCCCTTCGGGCAAGGCGCCCCGGCAGAGGTGCCGGGGTTCGATGTTCCTCTTCACTAAAGGCATGGCTCACAATCTGAAAATTAAACAGACATTTTTTAAAAGGCTCACTGCACTTTTTAATAAATCGAGTCTTCATTTTCTGGAAAATTGATTCTTTTCCCCAGCAATTCTCATTATCCTGTCATTTCTACATAAGAGAATCTGCTAAATATGCAACAGATGTTGAATAACTTAAGTGAATTCTATAGAGATCAAATATAAATGCACAGTACAATTCTACTTTACAGAAAAATAATATATGCAAGATTTCCAGGTAAGCATAAGTGAATGAATACATCATCTTGCCTTCCCTCCTACTGACAAGAGAGAGAAAAGGTGTGAACCCACAAGAACTAAGAGCAGGACACAACAGCCCTAAAACTGTGGACAGAGCTTAATCAAATTAAGACTAGGCTGCAAGTAGAGGGAGGCAGGAAGTAAGCTCACTTGAACACACAATCTTGCCAAATCTCCTCCACAAAGTTCAGGAATGGGAGATTACTACGAAATGGGGCATTAAAGGGTATGGAAACAGAATTGGTTTTTTTTCTTAATAAATCTTTATTGTTCAGATTATTACAGGTGTTCTGCCCCCCCCTATAGCTCCCCTCCACCTGATTCTCCCCTATGCCCCCCCCGCCATTGTCTTCATCCATAGGTGTAAGATTTTTGTCCAATCTCTTCCCGCATTCCTCAAACCCCCTTCCCCTTGAGAATTGTCAGTCTGCTCCCTTTTTGTGTACCTGATTGGTTTTTAAAATCGATTTATTAATTCCTTCTCCCTTCTTGGGCTGGCTTCTTCTACCTCACCCAGAACATTTTACTCTCTGGAAGAGCTGAATTCAAGCATCTGGACTTGAGACACCAGGCATAGCTCCAGGTTGGGGTAGGCACTGAAGCCCATAGTCTGAAATCAAAGTCTACACTGAATGCTAAGATACATATGCTCCCCACACCCCACCTCCCTTCCTGCTTGGCTTCTAGGACACAGGGCCTGTTTTTACTACCCACTGAAAGAGACCAGAGCATTCTTCCCTGAAAAGTGTTTGAAGAGAAGTCCATAAACATTAACACCTGACCTCCTATTGAAATACAGTAACACATGTCAATAATCTCTTCCCAGTCGGCTTTAATAGCTTAGACCTAAACAAAAGCAGAGGATCACCAGACACTTCAGGAAAGCTTCCTGTTACCCTGGGAATTCCTTTCATGTTTCTCCTTATAAAATACATTATTAAAAAAATAAACTTTTTGTTTAAGGAGGCATTTATAGTATCAAATCTACTCATGCAACAAATCTATTGCTCACAGCACAGTGGAAAAATGCAGTGACTGTCACTTTGAGAAGACTGTCATATTGCCCAATTTGCAGCAGCAGAAACACAGAAAAGCCTAGAACCTTGGTGACACCTGTTAGCAGTCAAACCAGCCTGAAAAGCCAACCTGGAACTCTTTTTAAAAAACTATATTTTATTGATTTTTTTTACAGAGAGGAAGAGACAGGGATAGAGAGAAACATCAATGAGAGAGAGACATCGATCAGCTGCCTCTTGCACACCCGCTACTGGGGATGTGCCCGCAATCAAGGTACATGCCCTTGACCGGAATCAAACCTGGGACCCTTTCAATCCGCAGGCCAACGCTCTATCCACTGAGCCAAACCGGTTTCAGCTGGAACTCTTGTTGTGTGAGACAGATAATATTGTATTTGTTTAAGCAACTGTAGTTGGGTTGTCTGTAACTTGAAATAAAACTCATTTTTATAAAGTACAGTAACAGAATGAATGGTATACTACTGTATCTGAAGAGCCAGAATGTGGTCAGCATACAACCAATCTTTGCTTTTCTTCCCCCTTTCTTCATAACCTTTGTTCATGCATCCAATAAATACTTTCTGAGCACCTGCCACAGACCCGGCAGTGTATGAAGTGACAAGGACCCAATGATTAGTGAGAACAGATAAAACCCTCAAATTAACTTTATACTAGTGAGAAAGTGAAACATTTATCCAACCACACAGGTTAATGGACAGGGGGATAGGGCAAGGGTGTGGGGGGGAGGGGAGCGTGGTCAGCATATCTGAGGAATCATGGGAACCCTGCTGGGGACAGGATGGACTAAAATCTGAAGGGTGAGGGCTAACTCACAAAGGGTCCCATGGCAGAGGCAGTATCTATATATACTAGAAGCCTGGTGCATGACATTTGTGCACTGGGGTGGGGGTGCCCTTCAGCCAGGCCTGTGCCCTCTTGCAGTCCGGGACCCCTCGGAGATGTCCTCCTGTTGCCTAAGTGGCATTCAGACAACCCTCTCACAGTCCAGGGCTTTCACAGTCCAGGACTCCTCACTCCTTACCACCCGCCTGCAGCAGAGGCAGGAGAGGCTTCCTCCAATGCTGCTGCGCTTGCCAGCCATGAGCCTGCATTCTGGCTGAGCTGCGCACCCACTGTGGGAGCGCGCTGACCACCAGGGGGCAGCTCCTGCATGAGCATTTGCCCCATGCTGGTCAATGCGCATCATAATGACCAGTCATTCTGCCGTTGGGTCAATTTGTATATTAGGATTTTATTATACAAGACTAGAGGCCTGGTGCACAAAAATTTGTGCACTCAGGAGGTTCCCTCAGCCCGGCCTGCACTCTCTCACAATCTAGGACCCTCAGGTAGGGACCCTAGGCTTGGCCTAAGATCAGGGCCTATTGGGACTTTCCTTCCCTGGGCTGCAGGCAGGTGGCACCACCCCTGCCCTGCTTGCCATCTGTGCAGCAGCTGCCCCTCCTTCCCCTGCTTCAGGTGACCTCCTTCTGCAGGTGACAGTCGTGGGGTGCGATGACTTGGCTGGCCTAGGCCACCCTCTGTGGGGCCATCGCCACTGGTGGCTTTAGACTCCCTCTTTCTTTGCTGGAGGGAAGGGACCTAACCACTTGCCTGCCTAACTGATCACCCCTAATTGCTTGCTGGGGAGGCAATGCCAGCCCTGCAAGGGCCATCTGCCTACCTGATCACCCCTAACCGCTTGCTTAGGGGCAGGGCCAGCCCAGCAAGGGGCCATGGTGGTTCTGGTTTCTGGTTGTTCTAGTCATTATACTTATGGAGGCTGGCCTTCTATTATCTACTAGAGGCCCAGTGCATGAAATTTGAGCAAGGGAGGGAGGGGGAAAGGGGGAAAGAAATATCCTTCTCAAATCTGGACCTCTCCAGGGATCCAGGGCTGCTGGCTCCCAACCGCCTGCCCGCCTGCCTGATTGCCCCTAACTGCTTCTGCCTGCCAGCCTGATTACCCCTAATCACTCCCCTGCCAGCCTGATCAATGCTTAACTGTTTTCCCCTACTGGCCTGGTTGCCTCAAACTGTCCTCCCCTGCAGGCCTGGTTGCTTCCAATTGCTATTCCCTGATTACCAGTCACCCCTAACTGTCCTCCCTTGCCAGCCTGGTTGCCCCTAACTGCCCTCCCCTGCAGGCCTGGTCGCCTCCAACTGCTATTCCCTGCTTGCCCGGTCACCACTAACTGCCCTCCCCTACCAGCCTGGTCACCCCTAAATGCCCTTCCCTGCAGGCCTGGTCACCCCTAACTGCCCTCCCCTTCCAACCTGTTCGCCCCTAACTGTCCTCCCCTGCAGGCCTGGTCGCCTCCAACTGCTATTCCCTGCTTTCCTGGTCACCACTAACTGCCCTCCCCTGCAGGCCTGGTCACCCCTAACTGCCCGCCCATTTCAAACTGGTTGCCCCTAACTGTCCTCCATGCAGGCCTGGTTGCCTCCAACTGCCCTCCCCTTCTTGCCCGGTCACCACTAACTGCCCTCTCTGCCAGCCCGATCACCCCCAACTGCCCTCCCCTGCAGGCCTAGTCCCCCGCAACTGCCCTTCCCTGCAGGTCTGGTTCCTCCCAACTGCCCTCTTCTGCCGACCCAGTCACCCCTAACTGCCCTCCCCTGCAGGCTGATAGCCCATAGCTGCCCTCCCTTTCAGGCCTGGTCCTTCCCAACTGCCCTCCCCTGCTGGCCTGATCACCCACAACTGCCCTCTCATGCTGGCCATCTTGTGGTGGCCATCTTGTGTCCACATTGGGGGGGGGGGTGTCATCTGTATGCCGGAGTGAAGGTCAATTTGCATACCACTTCTTTATTATATAGGATAATAATAAAAGGGTAATACCGTATTTTCCGGCGTATAAGACGACACTGTGTTCTAGTAAAAAGCCTGCTCAGATTGGCCAGAGTCAGAGAGGCGGTCTATTAAAAAAAGAACTGTTGTTGCCTCGGAAGTGGGGGGTAGTCTTATACAGCGAATATAGGCCTAAACCTATGTATTAACTGTAAAATTAGGGGGTCGTCTTACATGCCCGGTCATCTTATACGCCAGAAAATACGGTATGCAAATTGGTCACGATGCCATCACAATAACAAATGAAAAAGACTGTGTGGGGCAACTAGGCCAGCAAGGGATGACCAAACGACTGACCAGCAGGCTGCTTGGTCGACCAGGCCAGTGTCGGGGAGAGGGGAGGGCAGTGAGGGGCGACCAGGAGGCTCTCCAATATCCCCTTAGGGGTCCTTCAATGTGAGAGGGCAGTTCTCAGGTAACACACTCTGGAATTGGGTTCTCTCCTCTCTTCTCACAATATTATGTCACTTTCTCTCTGTAGCTGTCTCACTTCTTTCATCTTACTTTACCCTACGTTTGACAGTAACTGACAACTTGTGCGCATTTAGCTGCAAAATGCAATTATTTAGCAAACAGGATTTACTTAGCCTGGATCTAGTAGGCCCAGAGCAAGATCCTGCTGTCAGGCCTGCCCAGGCCCTTCACCCAGGCAGAGTCCTGTGGCGGCAGGAACCTCCGTCTTCCCACCTGAGCTGTTCCTTTACCTCCTTCTCCCCCTGGAGTTTGCCCACTGGTACTACTGTCTGCCTGGAAGGAGGGAAACTGTGGCCTGTTTCCCAGCTGAGTGTGGTAGATTGCTGCCTCCCCTGGAAATCAGTATTAAGCAGATGGGCCGATGCAGGTACCAGACATTGGGACCGCAGTCAGTAG